TCCTCGACTGTGACGCCGCCGAATCACGCAGAACGTCCGGGCCGGAAGCGGAGCCCACCGTCCCGGCTCCCGCGGCCATGATACCGACAGCGTTGCGAGCAGCCCGCGGGCTTGTGGGTGGGAAAGGACTGTAGGGCCCGGGCCCCGTCTCGGACTCCGTAGTTCCGGAATGCGGGCCGCAATGCCTACCGGGGCTTGTAGTCCACAATGCCCAGACGTGTAACCGAACCGGTGCCTGCAGTCAGATGTCAACTTCGCTCCCAAATCAGAGATGCGGGTCAGTGTATCAGATACTGAAACGTAAATACGTTCAGTTTATTAAGCACTTTTAAAATTGTGAAATGCAATCTACGTGGAGGAAACTATATTAAACAAATTTACACTAACAAATTTAAGGCAAAGGCCAGCGTTAACCCAGTCGAGGGTATAACATTTTTTAAATTTCAAAAATAACACATTGGGGAGAAAAATGGACATCTGTAATATTTTAAACAAAATAAATAATAAATAACACATATTGTGGTAGAAAATTAGAAAAAAAAAATAAAAGGTTAATATGTAAAAGTCACCCATAATCCCACATGAAAAAATACGTCCAATATCTTGTATATTTATTATGTGTGTGTATATATATTTATTTGCAAAAAATGAATTATTCTATGTATATTTTACGTAACCTTTTTCATTTAACATGTAATGAATATCTTTCCATTCCATTAAATATTTTTTCTACAGTGATTTTAGCAGCTACATAGCATTCCAATATATGGATGAACCAAAGTTTTCTTTAAACCCCTGCTGTGAGGTGTTTAGGTTTTTCAAAATTTTGTAATTCTAGACAATCTCCATATTAGAACAACTGTATCATTGCACAAACTCATAATTATCTCCTTGGGATAATTTCCTTAAAGTGGAATTACTGAGTCGGGGAATACACAATAGAACACAGATCAGAACATTTCACTTATCACTCATCAACCTTTTGCTTTTGAACCAAGTGCAGACATCTTAACAGCGATTTTGAAGCCTGAGGAGGTTCCCTGTTTGCCAGCCTCATTTTGGGCTCATACCCACACAACTTCTATCATTTCCTTTTAACCTGCTACTCAATCTGCCTGGAGCCTTCGTCTTGTCCATCTAGTCTAATTAAATCCTTCTTGTCCTTCATGCCTCATTTAAAAAGACATTTCATCCTTTCTGGGTTGAATCTCCCTTAGGACCTCGTATTTCACCCTTCCTGAAATACATTCTCCACAGTTAGCTCCCCTGGGGACAGGCACCCTCTCTGCCTGTTCACCCCATGTCCCGGAACCTAGTCCAGGGCCCGGCACACTTCCTGAGGTTGAATCGAATTGACTAGGCACATGAATAAGGCTTTTGATACACGTTGATAGACTGTGCTGCCGAAGAATTATATTTACTGAAATTGAATTCCATGCCCAGCAGTAAACTGAAGTAGGGGCATTCTTAGGGCAGCCTCCCATTCCTTATGTATTTGTGTCATGATTTGCTAGATACAGAACAGTTGACTCCACAATGTCATGACTGCACAGTATAATTTCCTTGAGTCATTTTCTCCCTTTCTATCCTTGCAGATAGGCCTGGAGAGAACTTTTTTAAAAATCATGGTCCCTCTCTCCTTCTCTAAGTACTTTTCCTGCCCAACCCGTTATACATCCACTTTAACGCCCCCATCTTGCTGGAAACATTCTTGAACCTTACTTTCTTCTTTGCATTTCTGTGATGGGTTTGCCACACTGACCTTGGAGAGTCCATTCCCCACTCCTTCTTTGGGTGCATCATTGTCTATATCTTTCACAGGCTGGGGAGTGAGGGGCATTTCCAGAGGCCTGGGTGGGCCTATAGTGGGCGTAGGAAGGAAGTGGGGACATAGGGTGTGAGTCACCTACAGGTGTCTCAGATGCTCTTGGAATTCACCACACAGTATCTGGACCAAAGAGAGAAATCCCCAGCAAAGATCCACATTGGGGCCACTAAAGGACAACTCAGGAAGGCAAGTGGCAGGATCATTGAAGATGTGAAATCACATGCCAGATCCCTGAATTAATTAGACATGGACCTTAATCTTACAGTATCCTGGTCTGACAAGATCTCCATGTGGTGGCCATCCCAGAATAGGGGAGGAGGCCTCTCAGTCTGACAGATCTTTGGTGATTGTGGCTGCTTTGTGATCCCAGGCTATCGGCCTTAACACGGAGCTAAATTACCTGCCTCAAATGCTGACTCTTCCACTTGCTAGCTGTGTAACTTTGAGCAAATTAACCATCTCTGAGCCTCTGTTTCTGAAGCTATTAAGCCCAAATAATAGAGGTACCTCACAGGAATTGTTTGAAAATTAAATGAATTACTATTTCCAGTGCCCTTAGTAGGGGCCTTGGCTCGTTGTAAGGACTAAGCAAGTGTAAGCTTTTTTTTTTAACCCTCACTTGAGGATATTTTTTTCCATTGCTTTTCAGAGAGAGTGGAAGAAAGAGAGAGAAAAAACATCCGTGTGAGATAGACACACTGATTGGTTGCCTCCCGCACACACCCCAACAGGGGCCGGGAATCGAGCCTGCAACCATGATACATGCCCTTGACCGGAATCAAACCTGGGACCCTTCAGTCCACTGGCCGACGCTCTACCCACTGAGCCAAACCGGTCAGGGCAAATATAAGCTATTTTTATTAACTCATCCAGTGTCTTCCTGAAAAATCTTTTCTTTGCTTCTCTATGAAAATTCTTCTAATTTTGCTTTTTTTAAAAAAACGTAAGGTATAACTTATATAAAGTACATAAATATTAAGTGTAAAGCTTGATAAGTTTTCTCCCCATTTTTCTAAGTCTCACCATCATATGATTGTCCCAACATCACTGTCTTCCTTGTTCAGAACAAATACCCAGCTCACTAAGGAATCTGCTTTGAGGAATTTCAGAGCTTCACGCCTTCTCCCCGGGCACCAGCAGGAGGCAGTGTGATATAGGAGAAAAGCCACAATCAGCATGTTAAGAACCAATAGGCTTACCCTGCCCCAAGGATTTACTGGCTTGAGGAATCCCTTTGTAAATTATATAATTGTCTAATCACTATGCTGTACACCTGAAACTAATATAAAATAATATTGAATGTCAACTGTTATTGAAAAATAAAACAACAAAAAAGAACCTCTCAGATCCTTCTTTCCCATCTGCTAAAGAGGAATGCACTATCGACTGGACACTTTATAGGGTTGTAGTGAAGATGAAATGAGATAAGGCCTGTACACAATACCTGATATATGTCAATTAAATTAGCAAGGTTTTAAAAAAGTAATAGTACCCAGTATTGGGGGGGGGGGGTCTGTGAAACAGGCACTTTCAGCCATTGCTAGTGAGAGCATAAATCAGTACAACCATTCCAGAGAGCAACTCAGAAACAAAACAAAACAAACAGCAAGAGCCATAAAAATTCCATATTTTAGAAATTTGTCCTATGGAGATAATCATAAATGAGCACCAAGATTTAAGTATAAGGATTGTTATCACAGCATTACTTATACAAAAAATTAGAACTGAAAAGATCTGGTAATAAAATTATTAAATAAGTCATGGTATGTTCATAATAAGGAATTTTATTCTGTGATAAAAAGTTATTTGAAAATGTACGACTATTCAGCCCTGGCCAGTGTGGCTCAGTTAGTTAGATATTGTCTCCTGTGCACCAAAAGCTTGCTGGTTCCATTCCTGGTCAGGGCAGGTGTCCAGGTTGCAGGCTCGATCCCAGTGGGGTGCGTGCAGGGGACAGCTGATTGATGTTGCTCTCATATCAATGTTTCTTTCTCTCCCTCTCTCTCTAAAAAGAAAAATCAAACAAAAAATTAAATTCAAATAAAATGTATGACTGTTCAAGAAGGGTTTGTCTATACCTTTTGATTTTTAAATGTATGATAGTAGATATCAAATCACTGTGGTATTTATATTTCATTGGATGTATTTATGGCAGTGATAGAACAGCTTTATTTTTAAATGTTAAGATCTGTAACGTGCCAGAAAATGCATCTTTTGTGTCTAGTTATGTGCATGACAAATCACCCCAGAAAATTCTCCTATGCCCCTTTCAAGTCAATCTCCATCCCCCAACTGCTGTTTCGGTTTCTAACACCTTAGTTCTGTCTGTCCTTGAATTTCGTATAAACAGAATGATATAGTAGGTACTTTTTGTGTCTGACTTCTTTTGCATAACAATGTTTTTGAGATTCATCCATGTTGTTCCTTTTTATTGCTGAGTACTGTTCCATTGTGTGAAAATCCACCCTTTATTTATCCGTTCTCCATAGATATTGGAGCTCTTTCCATTTGGGGCAATTATAAATAAGGCTGCTATGAGCATTCTTGTTTAAGTAAAAAAAAAACAAAATCAGTAGTCTCCCCTTACCCACAGTTTGACTTTCCTCAATTTCAGTTATCCA